GGTCCACTCCTTTTTTCTATCTACACTACATCTCTCCGGCAGGTGATTAACTCTCATGGCTTCTCCTATCACTGCTATGCTGATTACACCCAGCTCTATTTGTCCTTCCAGCCTGACGATCCATCCGTCTCTGCACGCATCTCTTCTTGCCTGTCGGACATCTCGGTTGATGACGGCTTGACCTTTACAGACCATATCTCAGCAACTGCAAGGTCCTGTAGGTTCATCCTGTAAAACATCAAGAAAATCCGACCATACCTCACCAAACAGGCTACACAGATACTAGTCCAGGCTCTTGTTATCTCTAAACTGGACTACTGCAGCTCACTGCTTTCAGGCCTCCCAACCAGTTCCATCAAACCACTTCAGATGATTCAGAATGCTGCAGCACGACTTGTCTTCAATCAGTCCAAGACAACCCATGTCACACCTCTCTTCATCTCCCTCCACTGGCTTCCTGTAGCTGCCCGCATCAAGTTCAAGGCCTTGATGCTCACCTACAAGACCTTGTCAGGAACAGCACCCTCCTACCTCAAGTCTCTCCTGAAGGCCTACGTTCCCTCTCGCAATCTGCGATCAATTATCGACCGACGTTCAGTAGTTCCCACTCAGCGTGGTGTAAGGTCCCTTTCCAGAACTTTCACATTTACCGTTCCCCAGTGGTGGAATGCACTTCCAATCTCAATCTTCAAAAAACAGCTAAAGACCCATCTCTTCCGTGAACACCTAACCAACTCATAAAAAAAAAAAAAATAAATAACAACAAAAAAAAACCCACAACGCACTTACACCTCTACTTTGTACACTTTGCTTCCTCTGGAACTCAATTAATGGATCTTGTATAGTAGCACTACTTGTATTGTTCTCTGCTCGATATATCGCTTTGCTTATTTGTAAGTCGCTTTGGATAAAAGCGTCTGCCAAGTGAATAAATATAAATGTAAATGTAATGCTCATGGTTTACATCAAAATCAGCACAACTGACATTTTTCACCAAATGTATGGATTATTAGCAGGCAGTTCTGAGATAAAAGCCCGCTTAGACTGCTTTTGAACCGAATGTGCATTTGGCAGAGCAGCATAAAGCCAGATTCAGGTCCAACACACACACACACACACACACACACCATTCAATTCAATTCAATTTTATTTGTATAGCGTTTTTAACAACCGTCATTGTCTCAAAGCAGCTTTACAGAAACATATAAACACAGAATACAGATTTTAAGTGTGTGAATTTATCCCTATTGAGCAAGCCATTGGCAACGGTGGCAAAGAAAAACTCCCTAAGATGATATGAGGATGAAGCCTTGAGAGAAACCAGAGATAGAAGGAAACCCATCATAATCTGGGTAACAGCGGATAGTGTAAAAGTAAATGAAAGTTCATTATGGTTTTAACATGAAGTCTGTTCACTAAAGGAGACCCGAGTGCAAAATTACATGCGGTAATTGCAGTTCCAAGGCCATAGCAGCAACCGTAGTCCCAGCAACCACAGCGAGAACGTCCATGTGGAATTGAGGTCCACAACTATTTCTATGGTACTTCAAGCGGTACCATCCTCAGCAATCTCCAGGCTGTAGTCTCCAGTTGATGAGAGGTATCCAGCTAGAGGTCAGGCATCAGGATGGATCAGGCAGGTCCAGAGAGCATAAAGGGTCAGGATCACTGGCATCTCCATAATAGCATGTGTGGCTCAACAGAAGGAGAGAAGGAGAGGGAGGTAAAAAGAGGGAGAGATTAGTAGGTATGCTTAGTATCCCATGATGGATAAGCCTGTGTTCTTTGCATAAGAGAAAGTCTATTCATGGTAAGCTTGAGTAAACAACCATGTTTTCAGCCTACAATAAAACACAGAGATGGTGTGGCAAGGCTGTTCTATAATTGTGGGGCTTTGTAAAAGAAAGTTCTGTTGCCTTCAGTGTTCAAGGTAACAACAAATAGCCTGCACCTTTTTATTTAAGTAGGTGTGGCGGATCATAGAAGACGAAAAGTTCACCTAGGTACTGTGGGACACAGAAAATTTTATCACTATATAATATAATATAATATAATATAATATAATATAATATAATATAATATAATATAATATAATATAATATAATATAATATAATATAATATAATATAATATAATATAATTTATACATTTTAAAAAAATCTAAATATTAAAATGAAATAAAAAACACGGCTGGATGTCAAGCCTGGAGATGGATCATGAGATTTGTAGGCTAGAGTTTGCCTGTTTAACACATTTTTTATCCCCACAAAGCCAATATGTGGCTTAATATAAATTTATTGGTTCAGCTCATTCGTTAGGCATAAATCCATAATGTTCCAAGATCGCCGATATAACATTAAGTTTACCAACAAGATCTATTGCAGCGGAAGAACCTGAAGTGCAACTGCAGAATTTGCCTGACTGGATTTTGCTGCGCTCCAACAAACCCGCACCAAACTAACAGACAGCACTATATAATGTGTTTGATTATGATTACGTAATTTGTGTATTAACATAAAATCTCCCGCTAAATGGTAGGCTATAAATAAAAAATGATATAGCAACTGTTATTATTATTATACTGGTATACAAAACGCTGTACTTTGTACTTGTCATAGTGCCCACTCAAGCACAAACATTAACATGGCATGTGATTCTTCTATTTTAGCCATTTTAATGAGCAAACACTTAATCTAACCAACTAATAGGTATAAGTGAATTGAAAAATGTTCATTATGAAATGTTTAGTGAATGGGACAATGGTAGAAATAACAATGTATTGGAATATTCTAGATTTGATTTAATCAGAAAAAGCAAAAAATATATATATCTTTATAATTGTAATGAGCACAATTAGGTTTTTTAGATAAAATGATCCCTGTCTATGAAACTTTTATCTACATGCATAACAAGTTTACCGTCCATGTGTGCCTGCCTTTAATAAAGCTTTTATTTAGAACCCCATTAGCATCTGAGAGAGACCAGTTAATAACTTCCACAAAGATTCAGGTTTAATTGGTTTTCTGTATCATGTTGTTTGGCCTGTGGCAATAATAATGATTAAACTGTAATAAAACATAAGAAACTCCAGGTGTTCAAGTTCAAAAAATTCTGACTGGCAGTGTATAAGAAAGTTTTTTATTTATTTCTTTATGTATTTATTTATTTATTCATCCATTCATTCATTTATTTTGCTGCATATCTTATGTGCTCTTAACTATCATTTGTTTTGGGGAAGAGGGTCTGCAGAGGGTATACTGAAGGACAAAGTGATGGGTAATATTTTCTTGTACAGTCCATATATTTCGAACAAGCCCATTACTGCACCCTTTGGTATATCCTACAGCAAAGCTGCTTCTGTAACAAGGGAATCGATACCAGTCTCTGTCCTAATGGCTACTCTGTAACACAGCATAAATAAACAAGGTCATAGTGAGGCCAATAGCAGAGCTGCAGATAATTGTGGAAACAATTGCAAGTTAATGATGAAAATAATGGTAAATGGTCCTCACTTATATAATGTTAACCTTAGCGGTTCTACAAAGCACTTTACACTGGTTCTCATTCACCGATTCACACACACACCAATGGTAGCTGCCATGCAAGGCATTAGCTTGCCATCGGGAGCAACTTGGAGTTCAGGGTTCTGCCCAAGGACATGTGGAGTCATGTGGGCCAGGAACTGAACCGCCAACCTTACGATTTGTGGACAGCCCGCTTGTTGTAAGTTAATGTAACATTCCAGCCCTGCTTTGTGAATTTATGTGAAGTAAATAATAATAATAATAATAATAATAATAATAATAATAATAATAATAATTAATAATAATAATAATAAATAGCAAATGGCTGATAGAGTTTCAAAAACATTTTAAAGCAAAAATAAAAATACCAATATAAAAAAATCATCAGACAGCTTAAATTACTTTTTTAATAAACTACTCCATCCATTCATTTCTATACATTCAGTACCAAGCAAATCAGGCACATAAAGAAGTCAAGTGGCTTTAACACAATCACAAATGAAAGTGGACTAAAAAGCTGAATAGAACGGTTTACTCTAGTGTGCCATCATTACTTCAATTCCAAGGTGTGGGTCAGAGCCTACCAACACTTAATTCATATTCAACATATTCAGCCTGCAGCTGGACTCTTGTGCTTTGAGGCAGGAAATGGAATGTGTGGGAAAAGCTGCTTGATGCAGTTTACAAGCTGCTGTGGCATGCAGCCACTGTTTGTCAGCTCAGCTACTCTCGGAATTTCTGCCATCTTTAGGGACGTCCCTTTATCAGCTCAAGTGAAAATCATTAGAGGAGCCCTTTGGTGACTGATGAATGGAGTCTACGTAACATTATAAGCTTTTCAGAAAAGAGATAAATGGAAAACCAAGACATTCATAACTGAATGCAGGGATATTTAATTCATTTTCCTTCCAGCATTCCCAAGAGATATAATCTCTCCAGCAGGTCCTGGGTTTGCCACGGGGTTTCCCTCCAGTAAAATGTACCTGATACTGCTGTAGCTGTAGCTGACCAGGGGGGATTCTTGTAAGGGGCATCCAAAATCACCTCAACAAGCTCCTCTAGATTCAGAGGAGCAGCAGCTCTAATCAGAAGCTCTCACAGGGTGCTTGACCATCTATCACATAGAATAGATCCAACAACCCTGAGGAGGAAATGTAATTTCTGCTGGCTGTCCTCATGACCTTATTCTTTCAAAAAAAAACACTTTTTCATAAAAAATGTTAAATATCAAAGGGAAAAGTGAGGTAATGTCTCACAGCAAGAACTGACAAATCTGGTGCAGTACATGAGGATGAGATGCACTGTAGAACTTAAAGCCACACCAGATAATAAAAATTATGATAATGAGTCTTTATTGGAGACATATACATTATGCATATCCCAGCATATTAGGGTCAGATCACAGGGTCAGCCATGATACAGCACCCCGGAGCAGAGAGGGTTAAGGGCCTTGCTCAAGGACCCAAAAGTGGCAGCTTGACAGTGCTGGGGATTGAACCCACGACCTTCCCTTCAGCAACCCAGAGCCTTAACCACCAAGCTACCACTGCCCCTGTTAAATGTTGTACTGCAGATATTGACTGTGACTTTTGATATTGACCCCCCCCCCTTTGTTCAGGGTTTCCTTCAGGTTCTCTGATTTGCTCCCACCTCCCAAAACATGCTGATAGGTGAATTAGCTACTCTAAATTGCCCCTACAGTATCTCACAAAAGTGAGTACACCCCTCACATTTTTGTAAATATTTGATTAAATCTTTTCATGTGACAACACTGAAGAAATTACACTTTGCTACAATGTAAAGTAGTGAGTGTACAGCTTGTGTAACAGTGTAAATTTGCTGTAAAAATGTACAAATTGGGCCCAAAGAGTCAATATTTTGTGTTGCCACCATTATTTTCCAGCACAGCCTTAACCCTCTTGGGCATGGAGTTCACCAGAGCTTCACAGATTGCCACTGGAGTCCTCTTCCACTCCTCCATGACGACATCACAGAGCTGGTGGATGTTAGAGACCTTGTGCTCCACCACTTTCCATTTGAGGATGTCCCACAGATGCTCAATAGGGTTTAGGTCTGGATACCTTCTTGGCCAGTCCAACACCTTCACCCTCAGCTTCTTTAGCAAGGAAGTGGTCATCTTGGAGATGTGTTTGGGGTCATTATCATGCTGGAATACTGCCCTGCAGCCCAGTCTCTGATGGGAGAGGATCATGCTCTGCTTCAATATGTCACAGTACATGTTGGCATTCATGGTTCCCTTAATGAACTGCAGCTCACCAGTGCTGGCAGCACTCATGCAGCACCAGACCATGACACTCCCACCACCATGCTTGACTGTAGGCAAGACACACTAGTCTTTGTACTCATCACCTGGTTGCCGCCACACACGCTTGACACGATCTGAACCAAATAAGTCTATTTTGGTCTCATCAGACCAAAGGACATGGTTCCAGTAAACCATGTCCTTAGTCTGCTTGTCTTCAGCAAACTGTTTGTGGGCTTTCTTGTGCATCATCTTTAGAAGAAGCTTCCTTCTGGGACGACAACCATGCAGACTATTTCTCAAAGACAACCTCTGGATACGATGCTGAGCATGTGCATTCAACTTCTTTAGTTGACCATGGGGAGGCCTGTTCTGAGTGGAACCTGTCCTGTTAAACCGCTGTATGGTCTTAGCCACTGTTATCCAGTTCAATGTCAGGGTCTTGGCAAACTTCTCATAGCCTAGGCCATTTTTATGAAGAGCAACAATTCTTTTTTTCAGATCCTCAGAGAGTTCTTTGCCATGAGGTGTCATGTTGAACTTCCAGTGACCAGTACGAGGGAGTGTGAGAGCGATGACACCAAATTTAACACACCTGCTCCCCATTCACACCTGAGACCTTGTAACACTAACAAGTCACATGACACCGGGGAGGGAAAATGGTTAATTGGACCCAATTTGGACATTTTCATTTAAGGGTGTACTCACTTTTGTTGCCAGCAGTTTAGACATTAATGGCTGTGTGTTGAGTTATTTTGAGGGGACAGCAAATTTACACTGTTACACAAGCTGTACACTCACTACTTTACATTGTAGCAAAGTTTCATTTCTTCAGTGTTGTCACATGAAAAGATATAATCAAATATTTACAAAAATGTGAGGGGTTTTTTGAAATACTGCATGTGTGAATATGTGTGCACTGCGCACTGTGATGGAATGTTGTCTCATACAAGGAGCGTTAGTGCCTCATTCACAGTGTTCCCTGACTAGGCTCTACATCCACTGTGACCCTAAGTAATTAATACCCATTTTTCACTCAAGTAAGGAAATACTGAACAAATCATCACAATTGTTTTAGTTGTTGAAATTCATGAGAGCTGGCATGCTGCCATATCTTTCCAGCTCGGCTAGACAAAGTTTTCTGTATTACATCTCAGAGATTTACATCGAGGTTGACAATCAAAATGAGTAAAGTCCAACTAATGATATGAGTGCAGCATAAGCAAGTTGAGTGTGGAAAAATAACAGTGTTTACTGAAGAAAAAATGCATGCAAAGAACAAAACACACCGGACATATGTGCACATCAAGCAGCACGTTCATAAAGCATGCTCTATATTGGGCTGTTTTGGGGTTTTTTTCTTTGGGGGGTGTGGGGAAAAAAGTTTTATTTAAAAAAAAAATTTACACCCCCATCCACATTTTCCGCAGAATCCCCCTTCCCCACAAAACAAAAAATAATATAAATTATTTAATTAATTAGAAAGACAGTAGAAGGAAAAGAGACAGATGAACTGTCGATCAGACAAAATTTTTACAATCCTGTAGTAAAGTGGCAGGGCAAGTGTGTCAATAAGGGCAGACAGCATTACTCATCTCTTGTTGTATGACTTTTCTCAGCAGCAGGGCTGCAAAAGTAACAGAAGGCAGGAGACAGTTTCTTGAAGCAGACTCAGCATTTATCCATTTCTCTAGTGAGTAATAAAGTGTGAAATCCCACAAGCTGAGACTAGTGAACACCAGGTGACTGCCAAGGACCCTGGTGTGGTGAGGGGGCCCCCATGTGGCTTTTTATGTTATATATTCAATTAAAATGGTCTTCAGTGTTGTGCTCGCATTGAGCAATTATGCTTATGCCTTATGTTGTATCTTCATTCTGCCAGACACTGACTGGAGAGTAATTTGGAAGGAGAAGTGTAATAAAAAGGAAAACATACTTCCTGTGTAGATGACTGACTAACTATGCTAAAATGACAGCTTATCCATAAGACATTGTGTAATTACATCACTATATGGCCTAAGATTTGTGGACACCTGAAAATCACACCCATATATGGGTCTTCCCCAATTCTTGGCATTATCTGGAAACTCACAATTGTATAGGACGTTTTCGTATGCTGTAGCGTACAAATTTCCCTTCACTGGAACTAAGAAGCCCAAACGTGTTTCAGCATGACAGTGTCCCTGTGCACAAAGAAAGCTTCATGAAGGTGTGATTTGAGTGTTACTCGAATGTCCTGCACAGAGTCCTGGCCTTAATCCCACTGAACACCTTTGGGATGAACTGGATTGCCGAGGAATCCTAGGCCATCATCAGTGCCAAACCTCACCAACACCAATGTAGCTGAATGAGCACAAATCCCAACAGACACTCTCCAAAATCTATTGGAAAGCCTTCCCAGAAAAGTGGAAGTTATTATAACAGCCAAGAGTGGACTAAATCTGCAATGATTTTCTCATCTGACTGATGTTTCTATACAAAGCAACTTACGGTGAGACAGGGGTTTTGCTCAAGAGCCCAACAGTGGCAGATTGGAAGTCTGATACAATTTCTTAACCACTTAAGCTAATACTGCTAATGATAATAATGATAATAAGTCTTTATTTATCACATATACATATGCACAGTGAAATTATTTTCTTTGCATACCCCAGCATGTCAGGAAGCTGGGGTCAGAGCACAGGGTCAGCCATGATACAGCATCCCTGGAGCAGAGAGGTTTAAAGGCCTTGCTCAAGGGCCCAACAATGGCAGTTTGGCAGTGCTGAGGCTTGAACCCCCGACCTTCCGATCAGTAACCCAGAGACTCAACCGCCAAGCCACCACTGCCCCCAGTAATGCAAAAATTACCAGCAAAAGTGTATAATTATTACAGTCCTGGTGCTGCAAATGGTCTTCAATGAGAATACCAAATATATGTACTATGTGTTAACCAGTAGTTACAGCGACTTTACTAAAATTTAAGCTGTGTAAGTCTGGAATTGTGCTGCGAGTTTAAGTAATGTTGTGGAAATTAGACAAACACCAGTAGACCCATTCCTCTCAGGTGAAAAGGTTTATTACAGAAGGATGAATACAGGATAGAAAATGTGAGCGCTCTGGAGCGCTTGTCTCTCACATGTACTATATAAGATTAAGCTAGAGTGTCGAACCTCTGTGAATACTGATAAGGGAGTTCTAGGCGGTTTGAGACAGTTTAGTGGTTTCAAGGTCTTAGCAGATGTGTAGACATTCCTGAAGACAATAACATGTTTGTTTCAATGTAAGAGGAAAGAACGTTCTGTACTTATCTCCACGACATGACCACAAGCAGGATTATTCACTGATGATCATGAACAGATAGAACAGAGCTATTACAAAGTAAAATGAATAATTTCCCTCACAGTAATGGTGTTCATCTCGTTCCAGGCAGAAGAACTGATGATATGGCTGGTGACTCGTGGTGGTCAAAGATCTTGCTAAGACATTTTATGGTGTTGTTTCCTTTAATTTGTCCTGTGTCTGTATTTCATTTCATCTAGTTCCCAACAAATCCAGCATTCATCATTTTGTTAAACATTATAGGTTTCTTGCAAATCGTCTAAGTCTGTGGAGGACCTTGACAATGCATGTCAGTTGGACATGTGTGTACTGATAAAGCTTGTAGTGATCTAACCATCTAACTAGAGAAGAGCAGGGAAGAAGATTAAAGCTTTGTGGAAGGCAATAAACTAATGTATCATCAGCCTGAGCGGAATAAAGGGAAACTGCACAGAGGGCAAGCGAGTAAATGAGAAAAGAGCAGCACTGCAATATATCCCAGTCCAGGGACAGCTGAGCTTAGGACTACAATTAATAAGCTTTACTGTAATTACATTTAGCACTTATAATGATCCATCACGTCACAATATTCACACCTCAGACGAAATTATCTGAAGTCACATGACCTTCGACCTAATAACCAGGACTTTGCTAGTAAGGCATTTTGGGTAACTGTATGATCCCCGCTCCCCCACATCCCTACACACCCCACTCATTATTGAATAAAATGTCCTAAAATTTAATAAATGAAAGCAGCAGTGATTAATGAAAGAAGAAAGTACGGTGCGGTTAAAAAGTATTTGCCCCATCCAAATTTCTTCTGTTTTTGTGTATATCTAGTGTCAACTTTTTTCACTGCATGGTATTTATACATGCATTTATTTATTTGTTTTGCACATGTATTTTTCAGTGCAAAACAAGCAAATAATTTTTCTTATACCTTTTACATGTTCTCTTGAAAAAAAAATGAAATAATTTTTTTTTATGT